TCGAACAATTTTTATTATCTCCTCCTCTTTTAAAATCAAGCATATCTTTTAAATTTTAAATAAAAAATAAATAAGACATTATTATAATTGATCAACCGCCGTACGAAATGCCCAATTTGGACATCTACAAGCGTACCTGCACAAAGGCTCTTCAGGTTTGGAAAGAAGTTGATGTCACGCAATCCGAAGTTGACAACGAACCAGATGATGAACCTTTGCCCGAAGAAGAAGAGGCCGAAGAAGAGTTAGTTCAAGAAGAACTTGACTGCTGCAAAGTGATGGCCGAATTGGAGTGCATGAAGCGGCGCATACAAAACCTACAGATTCGCCTCAAGATGGACGATGAGTGCGAAGGAGAGCCTTGCGTCGATCCAGAGATCATACTAAATTGCTCTGCTAATCCGGAAATCTGTACACTGCAAAAGAATCATCACAAATTGCAATGCCAAATCAATGAGCTTATACGCTGTTGCAATGTGGCAAAAGATCAGATAGAAGACTTACGCGCACACATGTGTCAAAAGTCGCGGGAGATTATAGAGCTGCAAAAAACCGTCTGTTTGCTGGACACCTGGAAGAGTACATTACAGCATGAGTTTGGCGTTTGCTACGAACGTTTTCAATACTTGAAACTGGTGAAAGCCGAATGGGAGGACGTGGAAAAAAAGATCGAAGAACAGAAGCATTGCTACAAGCAACTGGAAGAAAGTTTTGTGGCAAAAGTGTGCTTCCTGAGTGAGAAGCGGCAATTTATTAATGAATGTATGGAGATGCGCGAACTGCTGCAGGAGATGTTTCATATGCAATCGGCGAGGTTCGATGCATTGGAACAGCGGATGGAAAGCATTGAAACGACTTTGACGGAGCTGCAGAAGCAAAAGGTCATTCCAAAGTATAATTCACCAACTGCTTTAACGAAGGAAATAGAGCGTTGAATGGCGGGTCTGGTTTTTTTTCTTTGTCCAAATTGTTTATAATAAATGGAAAATATACATACATACATACATATGTACATATATATTTAGTTTTTTTTTTGCTTTATAAACTAGAAAATCAAATTTATTTAAGGCTAATGAAGTTTCTCTTGGCTTAAAAAATCCCGACAACTCCAGTCGCTGCAACTAGTGCGGTCAGCACGGCGCTTACTTACAGAATTTCAATTTGCTCCAAATTACTTTAACAGCTCTTAATGCCACTTTATGCCACGCATTTCATTTAGTATTCAGTCTACTCGTGCACAGCTAATAATTTCCTTAAAACCATTACAACTTTTACCATAAAATTTAACTTGCTTTCGCCTTCAGCATTTAATTGCTCACAATTCACTTTCGCATTTTAATTTCTTTTGTTAGCCATATTTTGTGCCATCCCTGCCCGCTGTCATTGGGCTCGCAGGCTATTTGAACATTTTAATGGCAAAGCTTTTTCACTCCCTCCTCATTACCTAATTCTAGTTGCTTTTCGAAATGCTTTCGGTTTTTATTTTACTTTTTTTATTTCCCATCTTATTTACTTTTTTGCATAAGTGTTGGCTTTTAATTGTCTTAAAAAGAGTGTCTCAATTAAGTTTATTGGAGCTTGAAATGGTTTATCGTACTTCAGTGGACCATTTAATCAATGCCGCAATAATAATTAGAATTCTAGGCTCGAGTAATTCGCGAAACTTTGTTGAAAAGTATACCCGTATAACAGTTTTTTTTTATTGGAACACTTGTGCAATTTAAACTTTTAGTAACAAGTTTAGTCGCTTTGTTTTGTTGGCTTAAGTGACTTCATAAGTTAAGAAGTTTCATATAATTAATGGCTTGTTGAAAGTTTACTGTACGAACTTTGTATTTTTTACCGACTTCCAAAAAAGGAGTTAGCAGTTCGTCGGAATATTTTTTTTATTTGTTTTTGTTATTTTATGGCCTTACAACAATTATATTCAACAATTTTTATTGAGCCTGAGGCCGTTTTTTTTTTTAAATGAAAAACTATTGTGGAAAAGCAACAATAATTCTGAAAAAATTATAGAAATGATAGCTTTTTCGGAAATCACCACATTTCCTCATCAGACTTCTGTCAGTAGGATTCGACTGACTCAGCCGGTTGCCTACGCACTGCCTTGTGAATTCTTGTTGTTTTTTTCGACTTTTTCATTTGTAAAGCCAACTACAATCAAGCGCAGCTATTCCAGTGCTATTTAAACTTGATCATGTGGTTGTTGGTTTTTGTTAATAATTCCATTTTTAGACTGCTTAACCTTAGGTGTGCTCGCCCTTTAAGTTATTTGTTTTTGTTATTTTATGGCCTTATAACAATAATATTCAACAATTTTTATTTAATTTTTTTTTTTTTCTATATGTTACCGCATATCTTCGGACCACGTCAACCGATTTCGATAATTCTTTTTGCATCGGAAAGGTAGTATCTCAAAGGTGGTCATGAATATATATATATATATTTGTCGGCCGCTGTGGTGTAGTGGTAAGCAGTGCGCACTTCCACTCCACAATACCTGGGTTCAAACCCTGGTCAAAGCAACATCGCATAAAATAGAAAAAGGGTTTTTCTTAACAGCGGTCTTCCCTGCGCAGGCAATGGCAAACCTCCGAGTGTATTTCTGCCATGAAAAACAGCTTCTCATAAAAATACAACCGCCGTTCGGAGTCGGAGTAAAACTGTAGGTCCCTCCGCTTCGTGTGACAACATCAAGGCGCACGCCACAAATCGGAGGAGAAGCTCGGCCAAACACTAACATATGTGTAAGCGCCAATCTATTATTATTATTATATATATACATTTTTATATGAGAATTGAAGTCGGTTTTTTTTGTTAAAAATTACTTGTTAGTTCTTCTAGAGTTATTGTTCATTTCCCCCAAGCCTTAACTGACGTTTATGCGTATTGCAAAAAGCAGTTTACAAGCCGAAGGAGGTAGATGCTCATATTAAGTACAAGTAAACGAAAGGAAAAAAGCTAAATCTAAGCAATATATATCTTGCCGATCTCCTCTTGTAAAGTTATTGTAACTTATCTGAGCTCTTAACAGCAGTTAAGCGTTTGGTGGATATGGGCTATTAGTTACAAAGTTATTTTATACTCCCAATACATTTAATCAATCAATACACGCGACTGGTATAAAAAATCGTTAGTTGTTTCGCGTAAAATTTCAACAGAAAAATCGGTAAGAATTAGTTTTAATGTGTCATTGGGGTAGCATAAATTTGGCATAAACATTAACAAAAGTGTAATGCCAAATAAAAAGAAGAAGAATCAAATTTGTTAAGGCAAAAAAACATATTTGATGGTAACTGCTCATCGAATTAAGACTGATTATTATTTTTTAACCGACTTCACAAAAAGGAGAAGGTTATAAATGTCGGAATATTTTTTTTTATGTATGTTACCGCATAACCTCGGTTCACGTTAACCGATTCCTATAATTTTTTTAAAGGAAAGGTGTTACCTCACTGGTGGTCCCATACTAATTTGGTTTAAATCCGATCATTGGATAATGAAGAAATGAAAGATAACGTTAAATTTTTATATAAGAATTGAAGTCGGTTTTGGTTTTTTTTTCTTAAAAATTACTTGTTTTGATAAAATAAAAAAATATTTAGTATAGTTTAGTTCATCCTATGTTCTTTAGGTCCTACGCCAAAAATTATGTTAAAAATGTTGACTAAGTGAAGTCAAAAGTTTTGCTTTTTTCATTCTTTCGGGCGCGAAATTGATCCTTTGGCAAGAAAAGAGTTTACTTTATTGGACAAAATTTAATACAAAAGCTTGTTTTGATTACCCTCCGAAAACGTCCGAACGGTACAATGGCACAGAACTTCAAAAAAATCACTTTCTGAAAGAAATCAAGATCGGCACTCATATTTTAAGGGTATGTTTAGGACGCTGACCATGCATGTGCATAAGTCCTTTGTATGTTTTTTAACTTTATCTTTTTTGGAAATTAATACCAATTTTAAAATTTACTTATACACAAGTTATACGATATACCAAAATATGGACGTCAAAAGAATGGGGGTTAAGAAATCTTTAGTTTGAACGCTGAAAAACATGTTGAGGTGTTGGAAGAGGGTTGCTGTTGGAATACAAGTAAAGTCAAACTTGAACTTTTATATACTGTACATTATATTGTAACAATCTAGGTAATCAATCAATTGTACTTTAAAGAACTTTATGGAATGTTATGAAGTAATTTTTTCATTCTGAAAATTAGCTTTCTATAATAAACATCTCTTTTCTTCAAACTTTAAATATTACATTTTTCCATCATCAACGGAGAGTTGTAAAAGGTTATGGGCGACGCCAAGGAAAATTCATATGGAATTAAGCAGTTTAACGGCTGTGATTTTGATGACTGGGAATTTCGAGTAAAAATCCATTTCGATGCTATTGGATTGTTGGATGTTTTAACGGGCGTTCCAACGGAGGAAGAAGAAAAGTCGCAGGAGTTCATGAAGAAGGACAAGAAGGCTAAGGAGCGCCTTGTTGCGCTGATACACAATGATTGCTTATCCTATGTTAAAGACCAAGATACCGCAAGGAGTATGTGGCAGAATCTGAGAGCAGTATTTGCAAGAAAATCTGTGATTAATCAACTAATGGTGCGTAAAAAGTTGGCCGCATTAAGAATGAATGAGGGTGAAACTGTTGCATCTCATCTATTGGTGTTTGAGAATCTCGTAAGGCAATTGAGGTGCAGTGGAGCTGATTTAAAGGAGGAAGATATCCTGGCGCAGTTCTTTCTTACACTAAATGAAAAATTTGATCCGGTTGTAACAGCACTGCAGAATTTGGAGAACTTATCATTCAATACCGTAAAAGAAAGATTGCTATTGGAAGAGGTCAAGCTGGGAAACCGTATTGAAGAAGAACCTGAAAGCAAGACGGCATTTTCGGGAAAGAAGTCACGTAAATTTCAAGGAAAATGTCATAAATGTGGTAAGTTTGGCCACAAAGCAAGTAGTTGTTGGTCGAAAGAAGCTAAGACTGCTGCGTGTGAAAAGGTTTGCTTTATTGTTGATAAGTTTCGAGACAGAGGTGAATTGGGAAAAGAAAGTGTATTTTTCAAGTTAGACTCAGGCGCAAGCGATCATATGGTACGAGATAAGAGTATTCTGTGCAATATCAAAATGTTGGAATCTCCTGTTGTGATTCATGTGGCGAAAGATGATCAATGCTTGGTGGCGCGGTTCGTTGGAGAATTGAATGGGCAGACATCGTTGGGAGTTCAAGAGAGTGTGAAGAATATTTTATATGTACCAGAGTTGCGGGATAACTTGATTTCGGTAAGGAAAATGACTAAAGCTGGTATTAACGTGAAATTTCAAAGCAACAATGCGATTATTGAAAAAGATGGTAGGATAATAACGAATGCTTATCCTAGTGGTAGTTTATACGAGCTTGAAATTGTTGTAAAAAAAGAGAACACTGTGTTGGCTTGTTACGAGGGTAATGTAGAAGGTTGGCATAGACGGATGGGGCATGCTGGAAGAGACAATTTGAGATCACTTATTAATGTGTATTTGATTAACTGTTCGACCAGGAATTTGGAAAATTTAGAAAAATGTGAAATTTGTTTAAAAAGCAAGCAGACCAGACTACCATTTAGTTCAACTAGGATACGAGCGAAAGAAGTTTTAGAGAGGATACACAGTGATGTATGCGGTCCCATTGATCCAATATCGAAGGATGGCTCGAAGTATATTCTGTCAATTTTAGATGACTTTAGTCATTTCTGCGTTATTTACTTATTAAAAAAGAAGTCTGAGGTTTTCGGGAAATTTAAGGAGTATGAAGCGATGACTTCGGCTATGTTTTCAAGAAAGATTTCCAAATTGACTGTAGATAATGGTACAGAATATTTTTCAAAAGATCAGAAGAAATGGTATGCTGAGAAAGGTATTCAAATCGAGGCAACCATGGCGTATACGCCACAACAAAATGGAGTAGCAGAAAGATTTAATAGAACGTTGACAGAAAAGATAAGAGCTATGCTTTTAGAATCAAACTTACCAAGAAGTTTTTGGAGTGAAGCAGCTTTGACAGGAGTTTTTATAATTAATACATTGCCAACAAAAGCAATTGAAAGAGGTATTACCCCTGCAGAATTATGGTACGGTTACAAACCTAATCTAGGAAAAATGAAAATATTTGGATGCAAAGCATTTGCTTGGATTCCACCTCAAAAGCGAAGTAAATTAAATGCTAAGAGTACTTCGTGTGTTTTTGTTGGGTATACTAGAAATGGTTATCGTCTATGGGACATGGAGAACAAAAAGATTATAACCGCTAGAGATGTTGTTTTTGATGAGAGCATTTTCCCATTTGCAGAACAAATGTTCCGAGAAAAAGAAAATACAAATGTTATTAGATGCTTTGAGCAAGAGGGGGAAGCAAGTGATGATACTCAATTGATTTTTGAGCCGTTTTCAGAGGTTCCTTATTCAGCAGTTGAGGAAGAGTGTGAGGATGTGTTTGAAGACTCAAATGAAGTTCTGAATGAAGATGATGGAATGTATGATGGAATATATGAAAACGAACAGCCTGCACCAGGATCAAGTCACTTGTTAAGTAATGAAGAACAACCACGGCGAAGTGAACGTCTACGTCAAAAGAATTTGTTCAATATCTTTGGCTACAGTGCAAACTTCAGTATGTCTGATATCAGTATACCTCTAACATATTCCGAAATATTTGGGCGTGATGATACCGAGCACTGGGTTAAGGCTGTAAACGATGAACTTAATTCTATGGAGAAAAATCAAGTTTGGCAATTGGTAGATGTCTCTTGTAAGTGTAAGTGTTGAGGTCAAAGTGGATATTCACAATAAAAGAAAACGAAGATGGTGAATCAGTGAGATATAAAGCGAGACTTGTAGTAAAAGGATATCTGCAAAAAGAAGGTGTTGATTTCTTTGAAACGTATGCTCCAGTAGCAAAATTGTCAACAATCAGAGTAGTACTAGCAGTAGGTTTGCAAAATAATTTATATTTTCATCACCTTGACGTTAAAACAGCATTTTTGCATGGAGAATTGAAAGAAAACGTATTCATGCATGTACCAGAAGGAGTAAAAGCTAGAGAAAATCAGTTTTGCAAATTACTTAAGTCCCTTTATGGCCTGAAGCAAGCACCAAAATGTTGGAATGAGAAGTTCAATTCATTTATATTGAAGTTAGGCTTTAAGAGATCACTACATGACTACTGTTTGTATACTAAGCATGAGAATGATAGCCTGTTATTAATAGTCTTATACGTGGATGACTTATTAATAGCAGGTTGTGAAAGCAAGTTTTTGATTTAAAGACGAAATTATCAAAAGAGTTTGAAATGACTGATTGTGGTGAACTAAAGTATTTCTTAGGTATTAAGATCGAGAGAAGTGAAAATAATCTATTATTGTCACAGGAAAATTACATAAACAAACTATTAACGAAATTTAAAATGCAAGATTGCAATCCATGCAAAACTCCTATTGAGAAAAATTTAAAATTAGTAAAGATTGCAGAACACCAAACGTTTAACAAAGGCAATTATCAAGAGTTACTTGGAAGTTTAATGTATATTATGCTCTCAGTACGGCCGGATATTTGTTACGCAGTTAGTTACCTGGGTCGATTTCAACAATTTCCTGGATCTGAACATTGGCAAGCATTAAAAAGAGTTATACGTTTCCTGAAGGGTTCTATGCAAACTAAATTGAAGTTTCAAAACAACTTAAGTATTCCATTGGTTGGGTATGCAGACGAAGATTGGGCAGGTGACACAAATGACAGGAAATCAACTAGCGGGTTTGTGTTCAAAGTCTTTGGCTGTGCAGTGTCATGGTCCTGCAAGAAGCAAACTACTGTAGCTTTGTCATCAAGTGAAGCTGAGTATGTCTCTCTCAGCAGCGCAGTCTCGGAAGGAATTTGGCTCAAAGGAATTCTAGAAGATTTAAACGTAATTAATGCAAGTTATACAGTTACAATATATGAAGACAACAGAGGATGTATTGAGATGTGCAAGAATTTGGAAAATAAGCGAACGAAACACATAGATATTAAGCACCATTTTATGAGAGACTATATCAAAAAGAACATAATCAATATTGAAGCAATTTCCTCCGAAGAGCAACTTGCTGATCTATTTACTAAAGGGTTGGATATAACTAGATTTAAAAACTTAACAAAGGAATTAAATTTGATTGATCAAGAGGGGGTGTTGGAATATAAGTAAAGTCAAACTTGAACTTTGATATACTGTACATTATATTGTAACAATCTAGGTAATCAATCAATTGTACTTTAAAGAACTTTATGGAATGTTATGAAGTAATTTTTTCATTCTGAAAATTAGCTTTCTATAATAAACATCTCTTTTCTTCAAACTTTAAATATTACATTTTTCCATCATCAACGGAGAGTTATAAAAGTTGCCAGCTGTTTAAAAAGTTAAATTCAAATTATTTTATAAGTTAAATGAATTACTAAAATATGAGTACCAATCGAAGGAAGTTTAAAAAATGTTTATTCCTGAACTGTATTTAGCGGGGTTGCCACATGTTTGGAAATTAAAATTTCACTTAATTCATCAGTTAATTAAAATATGTACCGCAGTGTCCGGTGAAGGAGAATTAAAAATGATTAAGCTTGAAAATAATTTTGAAGAGGGGAGCCCCCTGTTTGAAAGGTCTAAATCAATTAACTAATTCAAAAAGCATATGAAATATAACAAGTAAGAAAGTCTAAGTTCGGGCGGAGCCGAACATTAAATACCCGGCGCAAGTATTAAATATATGTTTTTCACCTTTCCGAAACCTACCCCTACATGGTAAGCTGGGGCGTATCAATTTTGAGTAAATTAGAGTTTAAATTTCGAAATTTTGAAGTTTCAAGCAGTTCTGAAATTTACCGTTATATGAAAAGCGGCCTCAATTTTAGTCCGATCTCAATAATTTTCAACGCTTTGCTTCTATGTTGCAAGCACAATAACCATACCGAGTTTGGTACAAATTGGTAGAACGGTTACCGAGTGTAGGGTATAAATACCTTGTTCTGTTATACCTGTACAATTTTTATTTGTTCTGTTGTTCTTAGATTTTATTAGAATTTCTAAGTTTTTAAAATCATTAAATTAAAAGTCTTCAAATTACAAACATAAATGTTCTAATAAATAATTCAAAATTTTGAATAATAAAATTTCATCATGATATACCGAGATACATATATGTGATCATAAGTGGGCGGTGCCACGCCCATTTTCCAAAATTTTATCACAAACATTTCTTCGTTAAGAATTGTTGTAAGCATCAATTTTGATTAAATTAGCTTTAATATTTACTCATTTATCGAAGATTTTGTATTTCTCTAAATTACCATTATATGGGATGTGGGCGTGGTTATTGTCCGATTTTAAAACTTTTCGGCAGTTTGGTATGCTGTACCAAGACCAATAACTGTGCCAAGTTTGGAAGAAATTGGTAAAGCGGTTACCAAGATATACACATGTAACCATAAGTAAGCGTGGCNTTCTTGGTTAAGAATTGTTGTAAGCATCAATTTTGATTAAATTAGCTTTAATATTTACTCATTTATCGAAGATTTTGTATTTCTCTAAATTACCATTATATGGGATGTGGGCGTGGTTATTGTCCGATTTTAAAACTTTTCGGCAGTTTGGTATGCTGTACCAAGACCAATAACTGTGCCAAGTTTGGAAGAAATTGGTAAAGCGGTTACCAAGATATACACATGTAACCATAAGTAAGCGTGGCTACGCCCATTTTCCAAAAATGTATAATATTATTATTTTTTGTCTAAAACTTACTGTAAATATCAATTTTGAGTGAATAATCTCCAGTAGTTACTAAAATATCGCAGTTTTCGTATTTCTGAAAATTACCGTTATATGGGAAGTGGGCGTGGTTACAGTCCGATTTCGCCCATTTTCAACACCAACCTACCTTGGGTAAATGGAAACCTACATACCAAATTTCGTTGAGATATCTCAACTTTTGCTCGAGTTATC